TTAGATAAAATGAATTGTGTGTGTGCGTATGTGTGTGCGGATACAAATTTTTTTGAGAAGGCAGGTCTAGCGGTTATGGACTCTCATTAAAAATAAGTTTAAAAATGTCATTTGGTCAAAAATGTTTATTGGACATATGTACATCAAATTATCAAATATTTTATAGCGATTTTAATAATGTGTACACATTTTGTGTAAATTTCTTTGGGTTCCGTACCAAAATTTCCAGATGCTCCAGCAATTTGCCTTAAGGCACGATGCCATTCACCCCACTAGTTTCTATATTATTCGTAGTTTCTATAAATCTTTGAAGTTATTAAAATGAAAAATATTTTTTAGGCAAGACAGATATTACAGCTGTTCAAAGAACGAGATTATATCGCCAACGAAAAAGTAAAAAAGGTAAAAAATACAAGCAATCAATGAATGTATGTTAATTTTGATTACATGAAGTTCTTCAAACACAATTATTACATAATGATTGCAGTTACGAAAATAATATTTGTTTAGGCGTTGTTTAACATAATCCACTGTGTGAACGAATGTTATAGAATTTATTAATCAGCAATTACTTCATTTCTCTAATGAAGGTTCGTTTCTAAATGCTAATTACAATGACAAACCGATCATGTCATATTTGAAGTATGGCTTTAATTATATTATTGTTTTTAAATATTATACATATTTTTAATGCCATGATAAATATATATAATTTATAATTTATCATTATATAAATGTGTATAATGGTTAACAGGTTGACACTATTAAATGGGTGCATCACGAGTGTTACCATATTACTAATAAACATTATTCAAAATTATTATATGATGTATTTATTTTTACTTAATTTAAAATTGCTACATTGTACAGTAGCAAATAAGTTTTACTTCAATCGTGTGTGATCCTTTTTTTTGCAGTACTTTTTTTTGCAGTTACTTAGTCATGATATATGAATTATATAATATACAGTATTAAATTGCAATATTCCAATAATATTTTACTTTTATTTACTTTTGAGCACCTACCTTAGTTTCATTTTTACTCTTGGTTTGCTGAAACGCTGAAACTGACAATTTCAATCCCGATTATTTCTTAATGATCCCGTTTCATATAGAATCGTAGATGCCAAGAAAAAAATATTTTCCTGTACTTACCTGTTATTATATAATAAATACCTAATTTATATCACAATATTTAAAATTAAATCAAACTGCCTGAAAAATGATTTTCCATGAACACTTTTATAACAATTGTCGATATTACTATCGCCATCTTTAAATTATATATCCATTTGACAACCAAAACAAACACATGGTAATGATATGAATACAGATTAGCCAAGCTATAACCTCACAAAAACAGATTGATAAGTAATATTATATTCAATAAGATACACAATTTAACATGTATTAGTTTAGACGATTGAATAAAGTCAAAGAATATACACAAAGCATGTGATAAATTTACTAAAAAAATGATTTCTTATATTTGCATAAACTGTGGTCACGGTGTGAAAGAATTGTCCAAAAAATACAGCCAATCCGTTTTAAAAATTTGCACTTGTGTAAGGTTCCTTCAGATCTATAATTTATTTGCATGTTTGAATCAAAACTAAAAAATGTAAACATTTTATTTTAATTTTAGCCCGAATGTTCACAAATTGCTGACAAATACATTGAATATGACACTGTGATTATTTTGATAGATTTAATTTTATTGAGCAAGCCTGCTTACAGGCACATATTGTACAACACTACATTTCAGGTATATTAGAAAATCTCTGTACTAGGATTCATTAGCAACATCATTTTGATAAAAATTATCTGGTTGATTGTTTTATATCATTGCGAAGATATGATATATTTTATATATTTTTCACTTACATTCCAAATTACAAGACAATACTCAAGATGATATTCATCCATTATACCATAATAACATGACAACAATGTTCAAGTTTAATTTTTGATGATGATCCTTAATAAAAGGTGACCATATGTTTCGGTATAGCCGGACAGTCCCATCACGGATTCTATCTGGATCCTTCTGAAGTTTTGCTAGAAATTGGCCATTGCATAATAACCTGTATCAAATAGTATTTATTATAAAATGTAATTAAGTTAGTAGCATATGGTCGCCTTAGTAATATGCATTCAAAATAAATTAAATAACTATATCAATAATCAAGAAAAGCTAATTCAGGTCCTTATATACCAAGCAAGTTTTGCAATTTGTAATGATAAACATATAAAATATTTAAAATATTACTTTCAAAACAAATTTCATATTAGGGAGCAATGAGTTTCTTTTCTTGGTATTTTCAATACATGCAGTCTTATTTCTAATTTAGATGTTAGTTTTGTTGTAAACGCGAGTTATAATTTATTTAAGTTTAAGTTTTATTAAAGCTGAAGCAAATACTAATATTCATGACTTTGCTTATATAGCATATTATAGTAGCTATTCGGAGAAGAAAAATTCTCTACAATAACAACAAATACTGAACTCATTACCATTTCTTTCATAAGAAATGTTTCAATGAGTTATAAATGCACTTATTTTAATAAATATTTGACTCATATTTAATTGGTTTTATTCTTTCTTTTTTAATCAGCATTCTATTGTGGTGGAGTCTGATTTTATTAAATTGACCATTATCATTCTTCATCTAATTGATCATTATCAATATTTATATTTACCTGTAATGTTTAGAATTACTGGAAAATTGCACTTTTGGTCGTCATAATGGAAGCTTATACAGAGTGGGCGATGTCTAACACAAGCCAGAAAGAAAACTTTATAGAGGATAGTGATTTTTACATAAATTGCATTCATGTTATAATAGGTTTGATATATGCAATATATATTTTAAATTGAATTTATTGAATAGTTTTTTAAAAAATAGTATTTTTCTAGGTACTATCTTGTTCATGATAATAGCATATTTTGTTCATAATATGGTAAATATTGTGCAACCCAAAAATATTGTTCAAAAAGTTCCTTATAGAGTAGGCATTTCATGGATGTGGAAATCGTTAACTCTATCAAGTTTTGGAAAATTTCTAATGCTTCCGTCTTTAATTTGGGGTGACAATAGTGTTACAAAAATACATTGGCTTCTTGTATTTGGATATACTACAATATCACAATTACTAGTTTATTCAGGTACCATTATCAATTTAAATAATTAATTTGATCGAATATTGCCTAAAGTTTTATTTTTATTTAAGTTATTTCAGGGCAGTCGAGGTCAAAATCAATGTTAGTCATATTTCTAGCATTAATAGGAAAGTTATATGCAATGTCAATACTAAAGCAACATGTAACGGAAGATATATTTTCATTTCTTGCTTTATAGCAGCAAGTATAACATCTTCATACTGCAATTAAGTGTATCTTGTCATATAATTTAATGAAACATTTTATTAAACTATGTTTTTTATTATAAATAATATTTGCACTAATACAAACTTAAATAAATATTTACACTATACTAAACCTAAATTAAACAAAACTTTGCTATTTTTGCGAAAAAATTATTAATAATCCTCAGCTTGTATTATATGCTTTCAATTATGCTATATGTTTACTTAATTATGATAAATTATTAAATTCTAGTTTATTTATTCTCAATATTATATATACAATTTGAAGAAGTTCATGATTCACACCAAATAAATTAAATAAATTTTATTCCAAATAGCTTAAAACAAATATAACAGTAGCAACAATATTCGCCTATAATTTGCATGTATCAATTTATTCACATTAGCTCAGAAACAATTTTTTACAATCATACCTTATTCGAAAATTGAACACATGCATTAAATTGCATTATTATGAACACCATCTTTGAGAGAAAATCTAGTATTGTAAAAAATTATTTAAAATAATATTTCTATATTATAAATATTATAATATAAAATTATGTACATATAAATAATGAATCTATCTTACTCATTTTAAAAAAAATTCTATTATAAAATCAGAAAAGACTATATCGATATTATGCCCGTGCATTTTATACACTTCATTTTTTCCTAAGCAACTTCAATCAATTGATATAAAGTTTTTATAAAACTTCAATTTCATACATAAAGTTTACATTAATTGAATAATTAATTGAATTACATGATCATATTACGTCATTATATTTGTGTATGCAGTTATACTCACACAAACATATGTGCAATTCACTTGTTATAAGTTAATCACAAAGGCATTACTTAACATTAGACACACATCACGCACACTTAATTCCGATTAACAACTGGCATACCAAATAAAATGACTATTTTTAGTACTTTGGCTTAATGTTTTTATATATAACTGATTGCTGATCTGTTTTAAATATTCTAATACTGATGAGCTTAATATTATTGTATTGTATTACAAAAACTTTTGATAACATAATAACATAAAATTAAATTACTTTTTTACATAAACATGTTTGAAAAACTCAATACATGTTAGTCAAGAATTATTAAATAATTAAGACTAAAATACAATGCATACATTCTTGACAAATATTATGTGTTAACAATATAAAAATGAAAATGGCAGTGTTCTATGCCATTTGAATTTACAGGATTTACATGTATATGTTTTATTGAATCAGTAAACATTGAAATAAGAACCTCTTGGCAAGTTATCAAATCACACATTTCATTTCAGCTGTGCTATATGAAATATAATAGTTTAATGTTCAAAATTATAAACTTTTTACTACTTTAAGCATAACATTTTTTTTTTAAACTTTCCTAGATTGGCACAATGTTCAAAATTTAAATGCCAAATGCAGAATAATAGACATAATTTAATTATTTATAAATAAAATATAAATATGCTTCAGCAAACATACAAAATGTCCTAACAAATATACTACTTTCAAAAATAAATAATATTCCGTAATCAAATAAACAAATAAATTAACTTAGAAAATAACACATGCTCCAGCTCAATCTATAAAAAATATCATTGCTGAATGTTCTACAAATTTATCTATCTAAAGCATAACATATCTATGTTATTTTGGTTGTTGCTTTCCATAAACATGTAAGCGAACATCTTCTATGTCTTTGCACCATTGAAGTGCATAACCTTCGGGATCTTCTAAATAATATGTCCTATTTGGCTGCAAGAGAAAAAAAGTTTAAAAATCTCACTTCACGTTCTGCAATATAATATTGTATAAAAAGTTCGTACATATTTTAATTGAATTTTTTCAGTAACTGATCAAGTCTAATTTAAATATTAATAAAAGGAAGAGCCCTTACAGTCATTATTTGGCTTTTAATTACTAGACAAATAAAAAAGCTTTTCCTGTCAATAGAAATTATGTTTAAGAAGTAAATACTGTCACTAAGCTAGTGACAGAAAAGGTAAGTCAAATTTAGATCTAGCAATTTTCATATTAATCAATGATTTTTTTCACAAAATACTAAGAAATGATTTGACAAATTATTGGTTGACAAATGAATTGTCACATTTTTCACAAACTGACAAACAACAGCATATGAAATTACTAAGAAATTGAATTTATCAAATTATTCCATTTAAGACTGGTCGAACTGAAAACACTTTAGCCTATTAAATATGTTAAAATTCATGTCTATCATCTGCCTGTCAAGTGCGCACATATTTGTAATATGTATCAAGTACTTTGTCATAAATTCGTAATCTTGAAAATAAAAAGAAATAAGAATCTTTGATAATTACTTACAGTATGTACAAAGAAGATCTTAAAATTCTTGGGTTCTACTCTTAATTCAGGGCTCCAGGGTATTTCACCTTTGAGCACCATGTTATATGGGTCTACATAGAATAATCTTGGACCCATTGTTAAAAGAAGCATTCTCTTCCTAGCAAATAAACCTTTGCGTTTGTTAACAAAGCCTTGCTTCAAAATTAAATTATTTTCTACAAATGGATGCCATTTATCTAATTTTTGCTTTTCTAAGCGCCTTTCAATTTCTTCTGGTGAAATATCACATATGCCTATAACAAAAATAAAAGCTCAAGTTAATTTTATAAAATGCATTTATTAACAATAATAAAATAATCTTGCTTTAGATGGCACATTAACAACATAATAAAGTTTAATTTAATATAATATGTTTTGTTTCTGCCTTTCAAATAAATTACAAATAATCTGTTGAGCAACATCCACAATTTCAATTGAACTATAACATGCAAAATTGTTTATCTAAGATAACACCATCATCAATCACCTTTAGGTTGGCGTGGTTCAGCTATTCCTAATTCTAATCCAAACAGTCTAGTTAGTTGTTTATCATCTAAACCTGGTTCTAGATGGTCAGGGACTCTGTATTGACTTCGAAGTTCTTCATCTGCACTTCTACCAGGCAAGTAGGGATAAATATCTGGTGGTGTTTGCTGATACAAAGTATCCCATTCTATTCCATCAAAGAAAGGATGTTCTCTCACACTTTTGTAAGTTGGCCCATCATCGTTTATACCTAATCTCTTGTTAGGATCCAATACTAATAGCTTTTCTACTAAGTCTTTGGCAGTCTCATCAAAGCCTTCTGGAAACTCATAATTGAGTTTAAGAATTTTTTGAAAAATTAAATATTCAGATCCATCTCTGAAAGGAGGTAAACCAGACACCATTTGATATATTATACAACCAAATGCCCATAAATCAGATACTTTAGATGCCCTTTTATCCTTTAATAATTCGGGACTAACATATTGAGCTGTGCCTACAAAGCTATTTCGCCTTTCACACATCTCCCCTTCAGACGAATTTAAATTTGAGTTATCTTCATTTAATATTTTAGCAGAACCAAAGTCAGTTATCAAAATATGCATATGTTCATCCAAAAGTATATTTTCAGGCTTCAAATCTCGATGTATAATTCCTCTACAGTGTAATTTTTCTAAAGCTACCAAAATTTCAGCCGCATAGAATCTTGTACATGTTAAATCAAATGAACCAACTTTATTTATATATGGTAACAATTCACCATTTTTAGCATAGGATAAGACAAAGTATAAATTATCAGCGTCTTGAAATGTACAATAAAGATGAACAAATCCATTTTCGCAATTTGAAAGCATGTGCAACACCTCTTTCTCTCTTTTGATGTATTCAGCTTTCCTCTCGCGAATTATATGTCTTTTGTCACATACTTTTACTGAAATGAATGAATAACAAAAATGAATATATAGGAATAATTTAATGGATAAAACCATTCTTGATAATGGTTGATTTTTTTAAAAAAGAGCCAGATAAAATAAGTGAATAAACATGCAAATTAAAAATTTCATAATTTAGAAACTTATTCTTTTATAAACTTATCTTGTTTTTTTAATTAAATTCGAAGATTAATTTATATTAATGATTTTTTTGTATAAACTATATTATTTTTGATACCTAATCGGTTTAAAAAAATTGAAATCGTAAAAAAAATAATAAATATTATTCTCACTTGCGTATTCTTTACGGGAGTGTATATCCTTGGCTAAATAAACATTACTAAAACTTCCTTCACCAATAGATCGACCGAAAATGAAGTCTTTAGGGCTTCGCCTAGTTGGCATAGGTGCGTCCTGGTGCCTTTGGGCGGTGACGCCATTCCTTGGAGGCGAACCCTCCACGCTGTGTGCTGGCGGCGGCGAAGGCGGCGCTGCCGGCATCACGGCGGCTGCTGCAGGCTGCTGGCCGTTAATCTGAAATTAGATTTGAGATCAACTCTTCATCACTTAGTAATAAAGAAAAAATAACGATTCATAATTAATCATGGCGTGAACAGGACACTTAAGACATACATTCATACTTTTCTATAAAGCCAAAATTGCTCTAAAATCGCTCTAAAAATTCATTACCACAATGGTCGCATTATATATGACAAAGTCGATATCTGAGAATCAAATTTAAAAAAATAATAAGCGTTTAATTGTAAACTAGAAAAAAATAATGTAATAAAAATAGATAACAGTCTCATGTCACGTGGAAGTTAATTTTATTAACTTCCGCGATTTCATAACATTTCACTTGAAGCATTTTCAAGTGAAGAATATGTCGAAATAATTTTGCAATCAATAAATAGTAATTAATTGCAACAAATTATTTAATCATTTTTATTTAATAATTAATGTTTTATTCTAATTGAAAAAATAAAATATACTATGTTATGTCATATATTCGAAAAATATTTTAAATGCATATAGAATTTCAATCTTAAATATATAGATTATGAAATGATTAACATTATTCTTACAAATATGAAATATAAGTATAACTTACAAGATTTGATTCGCTAAAAAATGAAAACATAATACACAGTTAAACGTTACAAAATCTGTTAATTACATTGAAACAAATGATTAAATTAAAATGTCTAATTATGACGACAATAAAAAATTGTATAATTTTGTATTTAAAATATTTTTACAGTATAGCACTTTTTTAATATTAAATTCATTACTTACGTTACTTATGGTTAAAAACTATGGAAGAGGTAAAATTATATCGTAAAAAACAAACATCGTCATATAAATTATTTTGTGATGAACATTTATATAAGTGTTATCTCTACTTAAACTCGTTATCAAATTGTTAGTTGTATCAAATTTAGTTCAGAAACAACAAATATATACATCGCCCTTTATTTTGAAAAGTTGCATTGCGATAAATTATGATATTTTGAAATTCAATGTCAAAGATCAGACAATATTTATAAGATCATGAGCATATTGATTGTAAAGAATGTAGTACTAGTACTACTATATTGCTGAAAGTTGACATTTTAATATAAATTTCGTCGTAATTGTAAGGAATACGAAGTAACGTAAGAAATATTGTTGGATATTTCATAATGAGGTAAAAACGTATGTTAAAATCGTATAGTTCTGAAAATCTTTAAAACATTACAAATTATAAATTCATAGGCACCATACACTTATTATTAGGGCCAGTCCATTCATTAAGTACAGGTTTAAAAGGAGAGGTGGTGTTTGACCAAAAGTTACGAAATAGTAAGATATCAAGTATATTTAATTTTTACCTGAATTTGAAACAAAATATCCAAACTTTCTTTTTTCTAGAAACGATTTTTTCTAGTAACTCAAAACACACGTGATAATTTGGTCAAAAAATCCTTAAGAATTGATCACGTGATTAATGGGCGGCCCCTTATAAAAAGTAGCAGTCGAAAATATTTTTTCAGTAAAGCTAAATGAATATTAGGTTCTAAAACATTGTGTTAGATGGAAATATTTGATTAAGTAATAAATTATATCAGTTTATTCGAGACACACAATAATAAACAGATTTTTTATATAATTGATAATAGAGACTAGCGGACATAAATTATATATATATATATATATATATATATATATATATATATATACAGTGGCGTCGGAACCCATGAATTTTGATGGCCTAAAAATCAAAAATTTGCTTCCGACGCCACTGTATATATATATATATATATATATATATATATATATATGAAATCTTTTAAATTATCTGTCAATACGTTGTACACGTAAATAACATCTAGAATTAGAAACGTAGATAAATATTTATATTTGTTATATATACACGCTTATCTATCCTTCACATTTTAACAATAGGTGCGTAAATATTCCAATCGGATCGTACGCCGGCGCACAAAACACGCGGAAAATATCTAGAGACCTCTTAAATGAACATGGACGATAAATCGTAGAATTTATGTTAATCATATAACTACAAATAAGCATATTTCAAGGCCGTCAGCTGTTCTAGTGAAATCAACTTACTTCAGTGCCTAAAGTTCAAAGTACAGCAAAACAACCGTCAGTTTATGTGAAGTAATCCCTTTTGTATTTTTATTCCAAATATATATTCGTTCACACACAAATGTTTTAAATCAACAATTGTTTCCAATATCGGAAACGAGTCGTAATCAATTGTTCACGAATTTAACAAGCATATATTATTGTTTTTCGATAGCACTCACGAAACACTTTTTACACACGTGTCACAATTGATGTCAATGTCTAAAACTGCGTGCAAATACGTTAAGCATATCAAATTATAACTACATTCCACTGAAACTTTCCCGTTCTATCTGTGGTGTCCTACAAAATGCTTCGCGCCTCTAGATATCGATTTACCGAGCGCACGAGTTCGGGCGTCGAATATTCGCGTGTCACATTTTGCAAGCACATACACACACGTGTACTTCGAATTTTGTTTCAAAACATGGATTTTATTCATATATTATTACGGGCATTCACATATTGCGTAGAAAAGCACTAACATTCGATATAAACTTATAACACGCAACAGAACCTCTCACAATAACGGATTTAACACAACTGGCTGAATAGTCGTACACAGTGTCTCTCGACATTCGAGCGTGTTCGAAGTGGAATACGATCATGGGGGACGGACCATGCGGGGTACGGGCCGAACAGGAGCGCGCAGAGCGGGAAGGTAATGCGCTTGCGTCCGCATGTCGTGTCGTCTATACTGCTTTTGGAGTATCTGTATAGTGTATTCTACACATTTCGACCTTTGCGATCGTGTTGGTGTTTTAAGAACATATGCATACTGATTCCCCTCAATGTACCCATGAATCTTTATGTGTGGTGTCGATTTTGCTTGAGCATCATGACCACCAGCAAGGATAGATGCTTCGTACGGTGGAACCGGCGTGGGAGAATACAGTGTGCGTGTAAAATAACTACGTCATTGAAAAAAAGAATGCGAACGCGAAAGTTATTTGGTTTAACTTCTTCCGTTTCTTTATATTTGTTTGGTATCTCCGCAGGTCACGTGCTGTCACTTGTTCTGCGATAATTAAGCAGGCTGGTGGTATTATTAAATGTGAATGTTACGAATTGTTTATGAATGATTAACTTCCCGTGGGGCAAGTTATAGTAATCGCAAAAAAATCGAAAATGAAATTTTTTATATATCTTTACGTTTAAAAGGTTTCTGAAGATTTTGGCATACCTTAGAAAAAATGGATGTATGTGTGTGTGTATGTGTGTGTATATGTGTGTGCGTGTGTGTATGTGTGTGCGAATACACATTTTCGTCGACGATTTCGGGAATACCGATCAACCGATTTGAATAGTTCAAAAAGCATTTGATTCGTATTGATAAGGAGACGTGCTGATTAGTTTTTGGCGAAGACAGGTCTAGCCATTCCGAAGATACGGGGCAAAAAGTGCCAAAAATGGTAACTCAGTTTTTAAGAGAACGGAGCGTCCGATTTCAATAATTCAAAAAACATTTTACTTGTATTGACAAGATGAAGAATTGATCAAATTTTCATGAAGGCAGGTCTAGCGGTTTCGGAGATCTAATGAAAAAAGTAAGAAAAATGCCATTTGGCGGTCAAAAATGATCATTAGACATATGCACATCAAATTATCAGATATTTTATAGAGATTGTAACAATAAGTATATTTTTTTTACATTTCTATGGGTTCCGTACCAATGCTTATCCGTTAGACAACGGCGCGGCACTTACGCGCTTTGACATTTCGTCTCTATGCAGTTCAAGCAGTACGATTGCTTTGAAAAAAAAGTTCAGAATTTCCAAAATTATCCAAAATTATGTCAAAATAAAAAAAACATTTTTTTTCAAAAACATTTTTTTTTTTCAAAAAAAAATTTTTTTCAAAAAAAGTAATTTTTTGTCAAATTTATAGTTTTTCAAAAATCTAATTTTTCGGCGTAAATTTTTTTTCAAAAATGTTAATCGTTTTTAAAAAAACGGGAAGTTCCAGCAATTTGCCTCAAGGCACGATGCCATGCGCCCCACTAGTTATTATAATATTTTATTAATTACCTTAAATATTATTAAAAGACATTGCTGAACTTTCCGTACCTTAATTAAACATAAAGAGTAAAAAGTTTTTAAAAATATTCTAATCTGGTATTAATAATAAATTATATTGATTAGATCGAGTGATAAAACTGTTAAGCATGCAAGAAATTTGCCGAAGATGCAAGTTTTTATTTCACTCCCACGTTTTTTTATGCGAGTTAGTATTTTGATAATGTTGAATACCTCAACAAGACCTTCAATCTAACACCATTATTAAATTCATTCGGCTTAATATAACAAGGAATATAGGTGTAATTTAAGTTGCAGCTAGAGAGGTCATTGTAACTGCAAAAATGCATTTCATTATCAATGTCATGCACATAAACCCATGCATTTGTCTAGTCCTGTGTCTCATCATTCCTCGAAATGTAATATCCTATGTTCTAATGCAGCTTTATCACGGTGACTAATTTTTCATATGATAATGGATAGGTTTTAATAGTTTAGAATATAGACTATTATTTTGATTTCATATTGAATTGAAATATTAGTGGAGCATTAAGTTTAATTCACCATAGAAATATGCACAAAAGCAATTTGTACATACATATATAATATACGCACATGTTTATAGCATTTGTGTGCAGCAAAACTGGCTTCTTTAAAATAAATTGCTCTATGAAATAGTTCTAAATTGCTCCAATACCTACAAGACATTGTTGAAAATGAAACTAGGTCACAATCAAATTACTAGGACCAAAAGCAAACTTATGTACTAAATAAATCAAAGACTATGAATTGGAATTCAACGAGCGAGTAGCAGGTGCATTTGGTCAAGAATATACCCGCTGTCAGAGCTTATAAGATGGCATGCCTATGCGTATTGTAATTGCCTAATCAATCTAACGCAACGCTATCAGAATAAGCATTTGAGGACGAGTAGATACGGGATGCAAGACGTTGTATACGATGCGTGTACACAAGATTAAGTGCTGTTTGATCAACTACGCACTTCCGCACTGGTCCAATGTATAATCGGAAACTGAAAACGTGCTCTCAATGCTTATTTGAAGGGTATTTACTAGCACTGTCATCACAGAAATATAATAAATGATAAATATGATGAACATTTGCAAATGGATTCGTTCACTAAGAGAGATAATTAATGAATCATGATGAATCTATCATTATTTCAGAAAGCATCGAAAAAACTAGCTTACTACCAATATATAGATATATTTTACAGGATAACAATATAAAACCTAATCTCTTTATATTACTTTATTGTTCGAAATATAAAATAATCCCTCATACTATAACGCAGCCTGTCAATAAGAAATTCAGATTCCTTGAACTCGTCCCAACTAAATCACAGATCAACACCTGATTGAATATTGATTGTACTGGGCAGTCGCTCGCACCCAAAAATGAACCAATGAGAAAATTATTATAAAATTATTAAAATTTTAAAATGAGTAAAGACAAGTTACAGCAGTAATAACTGAACATTCATGTAAGTAATATCAGTAATAACTCAACATTTGAACAAGTAACTAACAAGTAATCATTATAACACTAACAAACAAGTATCATATCAAAAAACTAAAAATCTAACAATTTTTAACATCGTATCATTTTATCTTAATGAACAACATTTTAAACTATATCATCTTTTAATAATGGTCTGATGTAGCCAATAATTATATCTTGTCCTTTGACGCACAATCCGCGAAAGTGTACTATTTTAACAGAGTTCGGCAGCATCTCGGATGGCTATAAAGGTATCTATACGCTTCCTATGTCTGCGCCCTAATTAATGCATTTTACAATTTAACAAGCGATATTTTTCCATTCTACACTTTGTGGTATTATCGAAGGTTATTTCAGAAAATATGAAACTCTGGTTTAGTAACAAATAGTTTAGTAGCACCTCAGAAATACTATATAACTTTAGTCATCAATAAAAAATATGGCATTAATTCTTGTCTGATTGTACACCTCGGAGGCGTGCAAATAACGTTCTAGGGTTACGAACTAATCGGTTCAAAAGAGTATGGTAACTCTTTTTATCTTAAGTGACATAAAATAACTCATGTTTTCTAATCAACAAATTGGTTTGCCCAAAATTCATGCGAGCAAGCAATAAACCATAATTTATAAACAGGCTCTATGTCATGTTTTAATCAACTAATGGTATGCATAATACAACATTCATAAAATTTTGCACGCTATTTTAACCAAAGGTATAAGCAAACTGGTTTTAGCTCACTTAAAAATACGTAATGAAAAGTTTATTTCAAGTACATGCTAGTAAAAATAATCGTAATACAAGATTCATCTCACGTGACAACTTTTTAGTAGTATGATAAGAAGCAATGAAAATCTTAAAAAAACCCATATATGATATTCTACTATTGTACATAGTGGCAATTGCGTTTGATACAACTGCGCTTGTGCACAAATTCCAGTATTTCCAGAAATCACCATTTGACGTCACAACGAATGCGTCATCACTGCACCCAGTTATGTTGCGTCATATCTCTCGCTTTACTGTGTGCTGTGCATACATATATCGATTCTATTGTAAATGTATGCTTCTAGGACGAAGTCACATGACAGAATATACAACGTACATATTTATATATTGTATCGCCATATTGAATCTATGCGCGTAATGTACCTACTAACCATATGACTTATCTGCGTGATGCCATACGATGTTATTTATACAACAATGACATAATGGCTGTTCTTTGTTTTGCTGTTGTAGGTGCCCTAATTATTTCAATATCATTATTTTATAATATAATGAAATATTTTGTATCAAATTTGACAGCAAAATATCAAAAATATTCTAAAGTATTTTTCATTCAATTTAATTTGAGCCACCACAAAATTAATACGAATGTTACATAATATATATGTTACATAATTCAAATTGATCGTAAATATCTAAACAGAAAGGAATATTCTGGAAATAAAAAGAAATTAGTAATTACTATTAAGAAAGTATCATTTTGCCTTAAAGCAAGTTGCGTGAACTTCTCGATACGCATACATAAACAACTTAATCAATAACAATTGAGAATCAGCTTTTGGATAAAATATTCAACTAATATATATTCAAAAAATAATTCATGCAATTTTATGTCTTTCAAACATATTTATAATGTTTGAAAATATTTTTTTTTTAGTTTCAATATATATTACAACTGTTAAATAGTTAACATCTAGTAATATTGTTAAATAATAACATAAATTTAAATAAATAAAAGTGCAAATGATAAAATTTACATGAAAATAATATCCGTAGTATGGTGATTTAATATAAAATAGAAGCAAATAATAATAAAAATAAAATTAATAAATAATATAAATAAAATTTCTGAATAATAAAATAACACTAGAAAAATAATAAAATATAACAAAATAACAATAATAGATAATAGTATAAATTAATTTAATTTTATTAACTCTATTAATTTCACCCATTACTTGTTCTAAAAAAGTATTTTATTTAGGCGTGGACGTCACCTGCAATCAGTAGCTACTTACAAAACAGTAAATACCAAAAAACGTACATATGTTTCGGCATAGATTTTGATTAGAATCGCTCACAATTTTCAGAGAAGACTTACATCTTACAGAGTTACATAGAATGGCTCTTAAATTTTCAAAATCAGTGTTTGACAAAACGTCGACAAAAGGTCAAAAATCGCTCATATACAC